GCATAGAGAAAGCCTTGAACCTTTGGCTACACAAAAACCTAATATATTTCAAACTTCAACAGAACATGAAGAACAAAAAGAGATGAAAGAGTGAACAATTTGGTGTCTGAGCAAAATCTTATGGAAGTTCAGCTACCAAATAATCAAGAAGTAACTAATGATATCAAAGGTATCCACACAAAATGAGGAAATTGAGATAGTAGAAGATATCATGGATGAGGTTGTTATTGCTATTGATCAAGTTGAGTTTCCTTGCAATGGATCTTTTGATTTATAAGCAATGGTGTTGTTAAGATTGAAAATGATATTATTCTCGTTGGTTTTAAGAAGAAAGAGATCTCACCTAAGATACTACTACACATTCTTTTGGTTCATATTAGCAATGAGGAAAGTTTAATTGTTCGTCCTTTCATAGGTTTTCTTATTCCTAATTGGTTTACTATGTTGTCAGAATTCTTGACTCTGAAAGCATTCGTTTTTGTCTTGTCAATTTCAAGTTAGTGCAAGCTTCAATTACTTAGCAGACAAGTTCCAATTTAAATATTTTTCTACTTCGGCATTTCAAAACTCGAGTTCGAGTTTTCACTTTGTGGGGCAGAATTATACAAAATAGTAAAATGAGCATATTCCTATTTAGTTATATATTGATGCAATTTTAATATTTATATATTATTAAGATATTTAGTTGTCTAGGAATTAGTATCTATATAGAATAAATTTACTATTTCTTATTTATTAGTATCTTTATTTAGTTATTTTTTAATATAAGATTATTCTACTTAATTAGCTTATTTTCTTATTGACCAAAGTATTTAATTTTACCCTCAACTTCTGGAAAATGATCGAATTGCACCGTGAACTTTTTTTTTTGTTTAAATAAACTCTCAGCGTTTAAAAATATGCAAATTGTCCCTCACCGTTAGGGAAAGTTAACACCGTCGAATATCAGCATACGCAGACAATGACATCATTTTTTAATCCACTTGGACACTACATAGATGACACGTGGCATTCCCATGGACCCATATAAAAATACTCTATACGTTGTAAAAGTATGCTTCCTTCATCAGCCAAAATGAGAAAGCCATTACCTAGAAATGCCATCAATAAACAAGTGCCAAAACCCAAAAGCATAATAAAAGTAGGGAAAGATGGGGAAGGAATGAATTAAAACCTAGAGAAAATGATTCCACAACTGCATTTGCACTCTTGTGCCGCATGTCTTCATGCATGCTTTCCAATTTACAGTGGACTTATCCGAGCACCTCTTGCACTTCCATTTCTTCTTGTGGTTTTTGTAGAAGTGCTTCTTGATACCGGTGAGCTTGCCCAAAGTCTCGAGGGATTGTGGTGCACGCACGTGGACTTTGGGCACACATAGTTTACACTTGTGCACCTCCTTGCTAGTTTGCTGCTTCAGCTTCCATGGCAGGTTGTGGCCCCTCCGTTGAAGTTGTAGGTTCTGGTCACGTTGGAAACCTTTATTGCAAATCTCACACACGAATCTATTCGTAACCAATAGTGAGTTGGGCGAAAGCAATTACTTCAGCATCTGGATCAAAGAGAATTGAGAGAACAATCGAAAAGAAAAAAGAAATAATCTGCCATCTTCTCATCTCCAATTTACTTCATCCCCAAACCCTCTTCACTGCCAAAATCCGCCATTCTATTTCACTCCTCTGCCAACAATGCTGCCCAATGCGTCTCTTATGGCCCTTCTCTCCATGAAGACAAAGTCCCATCTCATGGCAGCTCACAAGACCATCCCCAATAGATCGCCATGGTCGATTTCCAAAGAACCCAACAACAAGAAGAGGAGTGGGAAAGTGAAGAGGACGATGAAGATGACATTCTTGCGGAGGAGCAATTCACTAGAATCCGGAACGTAGCCAGAATTCCTTTTTATATAGGTCTACGTAGATGTCACGTGTCATCTGTATGGCATTCACATAGATCGAAGCAAATGACGATATCATCCTCATGTAGTAATATATTACAGTGTTTTTCTAACAGTGATGGGTTGGTTTCCACATTTTAAAAATTGAGTTGATTTAATCCAAAAACAAAATTCAGGGAGCAATTTGAAGATTATCCAAATGTTGAGGGTGAGATAAGGTATTTTGGCCTTTTTTTTATTTTATAAGATTCCTAGATAAAGTTAAGAATTCTTAATTTCATTTTAATTTGTACCTATAAATAGAGTACCCTAGTTTAGTTATTAAGTAAACTATTTATGACTATTGCTTAATCAGGGAGCAATTTGAAGATTATCCAAATGTTGAGGGTGAGATAAGGTATTTTGGCCTTTTTTTCATTTTATAAGATTCCTAGATAGAGTTAAGAATTCTTATTTTCATTTTAATTTGTACCTATAAATAGAGTACCCTAGTTTAGTTATTAAGTAAACTATTTATGACTATTGCTTTGATTAAAGAGATCCAAGATCTCCAAGTATTGTTCTTAATAAAATTTTCGTAATTTTTATCTTCAAACACTTTTTGTCTTGTATCATCACGTTTTAACACACTGTAACAAAATAGGATTGTAGAAAGGAAGAATAACCACCTTTCAAAGTTTGCTCGGTACTTATGGTCACCACACATATTCCTAAATTTTTCTGGGATGAGGCAGTCTCAACAACCGCCTATCTACTAAATGGGATACCTTCTTGGATTCTTGTTGGCCATCTTGGATTCTTGCCTGCATGTGGTTACTAGAATTCCTGGTCCATTAAGAGGGTCTCTCTGCAATTGAAGCTTCTTGTAAGATCATGGCACCAGCTTCATTGTTTGAGGACAAGCACTAATTCAAGGATGGAGGGTGATAATGTTATGGCTAAAACAGATACCCTTAACTGGTTGATCCACGACCAGAAGCAAAAGACTTCTATGGGTAAGTCCTTATCTTTGAATTCTATTAGTAAGTTTAGATGGACAAAGACCAAGTTTTGAATTAGATTAGGCAATTTGGATTGCTTAGCATAAATGATCAAGGTACTGATTGTAAATAATGCGAGGCTACTTACCATAGTCTCTATATATGTTATCGATTAAACATATGAATTAATTATTTTTTAAATAAAAGAGAGAGTATTATTATACATAAAGGTACCAAGAGGATACCACTTGAAAATACAAAATTACAAGTCAATCAGGTGGTCCATAACAACCCCAATATCTTCTTAATCTATTATGTCATGACCAATCAAAATAGAATCAAAAGTATGAAACCATCTATTGTTAATATTTACAATGTCTGTTTCAATACCCTCAAAAACCCTAGCATTCCTCTCCCTCCAAACAACCCACATAATAGAAAGCGAGATAAGGAATAAATCTTTTTATCTTTTTACATAAACCAGCTCACGCCCACAACTCCTTGCTAACACTACCCACTATGGCCCACATTATTCCCATAATCCCATACATGTACTCCCAAATTCTTCCAACCATAGGACAATGAAGTAACAAGTAATTGCATGATTCTTCTTCAGCCTCGCACATCTAACACCTGTTGGTTATCATCATACCTCTCTTTCTCAACGTATCAATGGTCAAGATTTTTTCTTTAACAGCTTCCCAAATGAAAAAAGTCATTCAAGGCGGTGCTTTAGACCTCCAAATTTGCTTAAATGGTGCTGTCTTGGCATTCTCCTCACTATTTTTGACAATAAAGTTATAGTAGGACTTCACCGAAAAACCTTTTTTTTTGTTCGATTTCCAGGTTCTTTTGTCTTTCTCATTACCCACCTTAAAAACAGCAAACCACCGAAGCAGATTACAGAATTCTACCTCTTCTTCCTCCTTTAAGTTTCTTCTAACCTGAATGCACCACCCCACCACCAATTTAATTTCAGCCCCATTACCTAGCTGTCAGCATAAACGGTCATAAAAATTCTTGCTCTCGGTGCTGATTTTCTTCCACAAACTAGAACCATGAATAAAATCATCTGAACCTCTATCATGTTAATAGTAGTGTTTTATCACTTGAGGTTTGGAATGCAAAAGAAGAAGATCCTTACTAAAAATAATTTTAGCATTTAAAAAGTAGTAGTAGTAATAATAATACTAATAATAATTATTATTATTATTATTATTACTATTGTTGTGATTATTATTATTGATTCAATTTATTTTGCTTGTGTAAGTGGATTTTAAGGATGATTAGGATGTAGAAATTTTTTAGGGCTGCTTTATGATTGAGATGTTTTTTAAGTGGTTGTAGTTAGTGCCTTATAAACGTTGTTAACTATACTAAGAGAGACTACAAGTGGTAAGTTAAGAATTTCTTGTGTTTGGGATCCCTGTTATCTCTGGTGTTTTATCCTATAGTTCTTGTTTGTATGAGTTCCCCTTTTCTTCCCTTTACCCTTTCCCCTTATTTCTCTGTTCAGCCTGTTCTTTTACTTCATTTCCCGGAGTTCCTTTATTTCTCCACATTGTAGGATATTTTTGTTCAGGTTAAACTCTTTGTCCTCTATCACGGCCACTTCTGTTAAGCTTTTAGTTTGTGTAAGTTGGTTAAGTTATATTCTAATCATGTTTTTATTATAGACACCTTACTATATATTTTTTTTTATTGTAGACATCAAAGGGAGTACTGTATTTTGAAACAACAACTTCACTTTTTTAAACTAAGCTTCGACAGATATTAGATTGATAAAATACTTTCTTTGAATAATATATTCATGAAATTACTGTGGCTATTACATCTTGGAGCAAACACACACTGATATTATAGAAATCCCTAGGTCACGAAAAAGGTATTGCTAATAAACAGGAAATCACCTATGTGCAAAAAGATACATATTGGAAAAGGACTCTTACACTTAGCAGTCATTTATTGCAGTATATCTGCTTTTAAATCCAGCGACCTATCCTTTCGACTTTACTGTGTTAATAGATCTCCTTTTCATCGAGTATTGTCAAGCTCATATTTACCCTAACTTTTTCCCTTCCAGTTCAGAAATCAAGCTTAGGTGGCTTTCCTTTGATTTTCAGGTTAAAGTTGTAGACAGAACAGCTGTTGTTACAGAGAATGCAGAGACTGTGGTTGTTAGGCCCCTGGAAATTCAAGATGCTATTATTGCTGAAACGGGTATAGTATATTATCCTTTCCTAATTTTATATATTTGTTCTTGTTGATACTTTTTCTAGTTGTACTCCTTGGTAATGTTGCCTTAGAGCATCCTATGATCAGCATACACTGAAAAGTTGTTGAATCTTGATTATATACATAAATTTGATCAGTAATATAAAGCAATAATTAAAAGTAAATAGTGAATAAATAGATGGATGGCATTATAAATCAAGTACTAGAAGGCGTTTATATATATATATATATATGTATCTATCTATCTATCTATATATTTGTTTATTTATTTCTGCTTTTAAGTCTTAAAGCTTTTGCTTATAACTAAATTTAATAAATTTCTACTTTTTTAGTCTTAAGGCTTTTAGTTATAACTAAATCTATGTCTAGTGTCCGAAAGGTGCTTGGATATATGATTTCTTTTTTTTTTATTTGGTTTTAAAAGTCTAATATTTCCGAAATGTATGGTAAAATAACAATTTTAAGCAAGAAAATTTGGTAAAATAACGAAGAAAAACAACTAGTTGCTCTTTTATTTAAAAGTTATCCAAAAATAATATGTTACTTTTATTGAAGATATTTTAATAAGTTATTTTGGCTAAGTTAGCTTTAATTTTACTTAAAGCTCTAAAAATAAAAAGCAAGTCAAGGGAATATTTATTTTCTCCAATTGAAAGCTGATGTAGAATGGGAAGATTCTAATATGGCAAATTTTGATAATAAGATGATATATTTGACGTAATGATAGTTACTTATGTACTATAAACTATTTAGCTTATTCATAGGCTTATTTGTAGTATAAGTTTATTATTTTCCTATTCAATTAGAATTTAATTTAGTAATCCTCTATTGTAGGATATAATTAATTAGCTTATCTTCCGATTTAGTATAATTCCAATATAGACTTAACAATTCCTGCTTTATTATAACTTAGTACCTATAAATAGGACACTGTCTTAGTTATTTGGTAGACTGTTCATATAAGTATTATATGAATATGTTTTCAAATTCTCTTTATTCTATATCAAAATGATGGAGAATAGGAAAATTATAAAATAAACATATTTCGATCATGAAAAAATATATATATGTAAATTAATGTTTATGTTTATTAAAGTATATAACTCGTTTAAGAACTAATATTATAGGCTAATTAGTAGTATAATTTTATTATCTCATATCTATATAGGATTTTGTTTAGTTATTCTCTATTACAGGAAATTTTAGTTGATTAGTTTATTTTCATATTTCGTAGAATTTCTAAAAAAGACTTAAGGATGCCTATTTTGATTGTAATATAATACGTATAAATAGATAACCCATCTTTGTTATTTGCTGGACCATTGATATAATTATTACACAAATTGTCAAGTTATTGTTTTGATTATTGAGTTTTGAGATCTCCATTTTTTATTCTTGTTAAATTTTTTATATGTTCAGACTCTCTTTATACTAATGGTACTATTGCCTAATCTATCCATCACACTATCCTAAGTTACTTAACTACCTCCTTCCTAAAATAGAGCCTTTACTTCTTGCATTAACACTTTGATCTCTTCTACTTAGGAAAAGATTTCTAAAAAAACGGACCCAGAACATCTGGACAGCCAACAAATGGTGATCAACACCTCCCTTGCCACTGGTATCATTTTACTTCTTGCATAAACTCAAGGTTGAGTTTTACCAATGGGGTAAAATGATGCATGAGAGGTAGATCTTAAGTAAATATATTTCCGTAGTTAGATGTAGTTTTTAGTTTATGTACTATTAGTATTTAGTTCAGTTAGGAACTATATCTATAGATTTATTGATGTTATAAGTTTATTATTTACTATTTATTTAAGATTTTATTTAATTATTATACATTAAAAGAATATTGTAATCTAATACATATAAATAGAGTACCTTAACTTAGTTATTTGATAAGCTGTTAATATGATTATTAAATAAATATTGAATTATTGATTTGATTATTAAGTTTGGAGGTCTTCTATTTTAAAGTTTATTAATCTTCTGTAAGCATTTGTGTTGAAGCTCTCTTTATTATAAATCAGAAACTATATGATTTTTAGTCATTCTAAGGTGTTTCAGAACACTGCCAAAGCTTTTTATTCACCAAAAATCAACTTTTAAGTATTTCTCCCTATGAAAGAAGTAATGCTTGCTGTATAGATCTAACTGTGATCTCCCTATGAAAAAAGTAATGTCTGCCGTACAGATCTAATTGTGATTTCATTTGTGTTGAAAATTTAGCAAAATATCCCCGAGGTCGATCTTTCATACGCCCGTCAGGAACGGAAGATGTTATACGGGTGTATGCTGAGGCATCAACACAGGAAGCAGCTGACAATCTTGCCAACTCTGTAGCGATGCTTGTGGACCGATACCTCGGGTATGGCAGCTCTGGATAGTTTATCTCAAGTCTTGCTTCAATATATTCAGTAATCTGAGTTAGGGAGTCATATCATTATGGAGTTTAAGCTCACTCATAAAACTTGCACCTCTTAACACACACACACGCACAGCTGAAAGGAAATGTGCATTGAGCTTTTCAGTCTTTCCTTTTGAAATTCAAAGTCCTTTTTTTTTTTTTCTTTTTCCCTTTTGGGTGCAGTTCAAATTTATGAAAGTAGATTATGAGAAAAAATTATTGTGGCCATTAAAATCTTATTTGATCCATATTTTTTTTGCAGTTTTAAATCTTATTTGATCCTTTGAATCTTGTGTTTACACACAGAAATTTCCTTAACAAAATTATTGTCATCCAATTACTTAAATTTGATTATCTTTACTATGAGTATGAAGTTCACATAATATAATACTACAATAAAAGAATTGACTCTAACTTTTTGTCTAAAAAAATAGTATTGGAATTACAATAATATGGTTCATGTAAGTTGAGAAAAATAGTATTTTAATTCAAAATTAATTATTATGTTTAATTTAAATTGAATGCTTATGTAATTTTTTTATTTACATAATTGCTGTTATTTAATTCTGTAATACATTAAATACATAAATAAATTTAATTCTGCATATATTTTGTAACGGTCCCGGAATTTTAAAATGAAATATGTGTATTTAAAAAGGTCAAATGCGGAAGCGTAATAAAAATTTTGATTAACATCTCTTACACTAAAACTAAAAACGTACTCAAAGTATAAAAGAACAAACTAACTAAAAGAGAAACTCGAAAATAAAAACTATAAATATAACTAAGGAATCTTCAGGCGTCCCTTTCGCCGTCTTCCTGCGGAATGGGCTCGGGAACAATGTCTTCCTGATCTGAAATGATTAAATAAGGAATAAGCTACACCAGCTCAGTAAAGACATCACACTATCTCACTGTCACGGAGGTAAAGGTGTGTAGAAAACACAAAAAGACATAATTTACAACAAATTCTTTTATCAATAATAAAATCCTTTACTATTCACTTATCTCGGTGAAATTCATAAAACAATATACGAAAGCAATAACATCATCATCATCATGAAATCATATGAACTGTATAACATAATATTTATCACGCCTTTTGCAATTCAATCGTTACACAACATATTTTTCCTCATTTACCAGCCTACTAGTATCCATGGGGATCCATGGGGGTCCTGCTACCCGTGAACCCTTAACACTTGTAATCAGATTCCAGGGCCGTCCCCATACCCCGTCCGGTATGGGCGCCAAAACACATAAGGTCTCCATACCCCGTCTGGTATGAGAGACCACAATCCCGGTAGGGTTCCTTACGGACCTGGTCCGTCCACCATCTCCTAAGATATCTAGTCAGGCTGACCACATTATACAATTATCAATTTACATAACATTTCATTCCCCTTTTCCTCAGTCAGCATCATCAATTCACACACAAACAAGCAAACCAGTAATTTATGTGCCAAACAAGAAAACATACAACATCGGATTTTCAGTCATTCAACCCATAATCAATAAAACAGTAATATATGCACACGAAACTATGAAATGAAAACATCAGACCTCATACTGCATTTAAAACTGTAAAATAGGTCAAACAACAGCTAACCGACAAACACACCAGACTCGGGCTCCATTAGCGACCTTAAACAATTTCACCCATCTATTGATTCATGAAATATCGTTTTATCATTTATTGAACTTTAATACTGTGATAGGAAATAAGGTGAGGGGTCCTTACTTGTTTCGGGGTCTGAATACGGCTCTACAGTGCGCCTACAGGCTGTCCCTAATTTTTCCTGAATTTTTTTCGGGGAACTGAAACGCACTACTGTACCTGCACGTGTCCCAAAAAATCTCAAATTAGACCCAGGGCCCCTTTCGGCCAATATTGCAATTCCGGCACGGCGGCTCCGTCATGCTCTGGCGACGGCGCCGCTGCAAGCGGCGGCGATTCGCCTCGGATTGGTCGTTTTCAGCCGTTTCCAGCCGAATTCAGCCACACTTGCATCGGTCCCTGCGATAAAACAACCCTAGGGCCCTTGGGGGGCCAAAAAATTATGAAAAATCGAAGCTTACCGACGGCTGTGCTCGGGTGCGGCGGCTCTCCGGCGAGGTTCGTGTTTTGGTAATTTGGCTCCGATCAACCTGTAGAGAAAAGAATGGTGATCACGGTGATATAAAAATTGTATCAAACGGAGGCCGGGAAGGGCCTCATCGGAGGCAAAAACTGAGGAGGGGCGCGGCGGCGCCGCTGGGTTTCGGCTGTGTTTTCCGGCCGTTTGGCCGGGATTTTGGCTCCGATTTGGCCACAGGGGAACTCAGTATTGAAAAACGAGCCAGAGGTATGAAATTTACCTCGATCGGCGGTCGGAAAACTCTCCAGTGCGGCAGCGGGTGGCGGCGGTCGGCTCCTCCGGCGTCTGGTTCATCTTCTCCGGCGAGGGCAGGCGGCTAGGGTTTTTGTAGTCAGGTGTGGGGGTTTTATTTATACCCTTTTGCCTTTTAATCACAGCCGTCCATCTTGATTAAATATGGGTCGTTCGTACTTGATTGAATCTGGGCCGTCCGTGCGCGCGGGGACGCATCTGGGTCGTCCGATCGCGCGCACGCGGATCGCCCACGTGGCTCGTTCCCGGGTCGACATGGTCTTGCCACGCGGCAGGTCCTGGTTG